ATTATAATCTCAACCAATTATTTCCATTCAACATTTCAAAAGAGATATATGCTTGGAATATGATTGGAAAGAAAATAAATTCTAAGCAATTGAATTGTTCAAAACTTATTTGCATGTAAATTATTAATTAAACGTGTCTGATTGGTTTAATTTTCAACCTAAAATTTTTTATACTTGTCCATCTCTTACTGGTGAGTAGACGAGAGAAAGAGTGAAATACCTGGAAAATAAAAACCTAACACACCATAAAGAAAATACTTTCCTTATTTTTGAGAAAGATATGGTCACGTGACCAACTTTTGAAAAATATTTTTTGTAGAAAAAAATGTCTACCAAACACCTCGAAAGGAGGAACATAGATGGAAAGTAGACATTTTTCATTAAACATAAAGTCAATCAAACACAACCTAAAAGAAAGACTCAAGATTATTAAGGTAAATTTCTTACTAACAATAAAATCTATATATTAAAAAAATTGAAATTTTAAATAGCAGCACTTAGTAGGCAATTTTTGAACACACGGAATGCATCCAAAATCGAAACTTCATTATGCAGTTTAACCACACGATCTAAAATTGAATTGAATTAGGAATAAATCGAGTTGTAATCAAAGTCAAAATAGATTTAGTAAAATCCGAATTATTGTAAAAAATAATTTGGAGTTGACAGAATCCAAAAAGAAATTAAAAAAAAAAAAAATTCAAGAAGAAGATCAAGATTCGAACTTGAAGAGGTATCTGTACTTCTAATTATTTTATTACAAGCCACTGAATTGTTTGTTGGCTCCTAAAATTTTCAGAATTTCGCCTCTGAATTGTTGTTCAGCAATACTAAAAATGCTGCAATCAGTTCTAATCTTCATTACTATTGAGTTATCCAAGTTAAATGGATTACTGTGTTTTATGTGAACTAAAAATTAAATTTGTAGGGCATTTTTGTTACAATGTACTAGACTCGAATCCATTATTGTTTTACATACTGAAGACCTTAAACAACAGAATACAACAGGAAGACATTGGGGTTTTGAAAATCCATCTTGCATACAAACACTAACTCTTTGAATTAAGACAGTTGAATGAAATAATTAAGGAATGAATAGTGAGTAATGAAGAATGTTTCCAATTTCAATACTCAGAAAAGCTTGCTTGCAAATTCTTGAATGGTCTCTCCATTTTTACGCGAGGAAGCTGATGCCGTGGCTAGTTCTTTGAGCTGCTTTAAGCTTCTTCCCAATTGTAAAGCCACCTTCGTTGCATATATCTCCCCGTTTTCTCTTCTCTCCAATTCTCCTCCTTCAAGAGTGGATTCAATTGATTCCTCCAAAAGCTGATAGAAACCTGCTGAGTTTCTGTACATTTCAAAAACCATCCCTATTTGTCCACCATGCTCAAGAGAATTCACAATGGTAGCCAATGCCCCTGCCCCGACTGCAATATAAATGGCCAAAGAAGAGGAACCCACAAAAGCTGATCCTATAGCGGCCATGCCAGAAAGTATAGGCCCCATAATAGCGAAAATTTTGTTCAACTTCAGGGCTATGTTGCCTAATCTTATGTAATCTTCTTTATCTTTTCTCTTCAAAACTTCAACAATTTCTCTCATTTCATTTTCGATTTCATCAGTCCATCCATTACAATGTCTTTCTTGATCTTGTAATCTGCTCTCTCTTTGGAATTGAACATTTAGAGGTGGCCACCACACTGTAGGCTTCAATTTGGCTGGAAACTTTTCAAGCATAACTCCTATCAAGGGAAGTGGATATGCTTTATCAAGAGCTAAAACTCTTTCCATCATATTATTCACATCTGTTTGATTCAGATGTTGATGATCGAAAGCCAGTAGAGTCTCAATTTCTTTGCGTATTTGCTTGAACAATCTTGAAGCATTGCGCTGTTCTTCGACAAGTTGTGATGGCTGAAGCTTGTTCATCACCATCAACATCCCTGTGGCTGCAGAAAACAGCAGACATGACGACAATTTTAATGCGAAAACTGGCATCGCCACCCCACTGATCGTGCCGAGTCCGGCCATAGTTGTGCCTGTGAGAGTGATCATGTTAATAGAGTTCAACAGAAGTGAGTTCCAGTTATCACGCTGCTCGCCCATATTCGTATGCATCTCCACTCGATCGGACACCGCCTCTAATATTGCATGAAGCTTGGCAATGGCAATATCATTATCCTTTCCACATTTTTCGATGGTTTGCATCCATTTCCTATTTTCTCCGATACACATCGACTTCTCAACCGAATATTTCTGTTGGTATATGTCTTCACCAGTGGATTTTTGGGCATCGACAACGGAAAAATCTGCGTCATCGAGTGATTGCATGGCAATTGTGTTGATTGAACCATGTCTCTTTCTGAACATTTTAAGTTTAGAAACATCGATGACAGCATTAATTTTCTTTGAAGAACAAGAAAAGGATGACATTTGTAAAGCCATTTGCTCGTCCCTAATTCAGATTTTTCCTTTTTTTTTTCTTTTTGGGTATTTGGTAAAAGGTACAAAACATGGTCCTATATTTATAGTTTATATCATGCAACATAGATATTATAGAATTTAGATTTTGTTGAAAATATTAAGTAGAATTTTTGTTGAAATGACCAATTCTGTACTATGAATTTCTTCCACCTCTCTCTCTCTCTCTCTCTCTCTCTCTGTTGCTATGGACTCAGTAAATGACATCCAAGATTCAAAAATGAATTGCTACGACATCGTATCGTTCCTTCAATTCGCTTCGTCTACTTTGGATGATAATTTTTATATATACGTATACACAAAATTCTTTTCAATGGAGCTGAAATTATTAAATCTCCATGGACAGGCCACGCAGTCGTCTTGAT